CATTCCTGGCATCCCGGGGATTCCAGGCACAACTGTGATGGGACCACCTGGCCCTCCTGGCCCCCCAGGCCCTCAGGGACCTCCTGGGCTGCAGGGCCCCTCAGGTAAGCCCCTCGTCCCCTTCTCTGCTCCCAGCCCCTGCACTGGCATGGAAGTGGTAGAATCACCATCCCTGGAGGTGTTTCAAAATCACCTGGATGTGGTGCTGAGGGACCATGTGCCCTTCCAGCCAAGAGGGCTTTGTCATCCTGGGGTGCATCAAGAAGAGCCTGTGCAGCAGGTGAAGGGAGGTTCTTCCCCTCTGTTCTGCCCTGGGGAGGCCTCACCTGGAGCCCTGGGGGCAGGTCTGGGCTCCCAGTTCCAGAAGGACAAGGAGCTACTGGAGAGAGTCCATCCCAGGGCACTGAGAAGCACAGAATCACAGAATCCCCAAGGCTGGAAAAGACCTTTAAGATCATCAAGTCCAGCCTATGGCCAACACCCCCACATCACCAGCCCAGGGCACCAAGTGCCACCTCCAGCCTTTCCTGGAACACCTCCAGGGATGGTGCCTCCACCACTTGCCTGGGCAGTCCATCCCAGTGTCTGATCACCCTTTCCATAGGGAAGTGCCTCCTGATATCCAACCTAAACCTCCCCTGGAGCAGCTTCAGGCCAGGCTCTCTGGTCCTGTCACTGGTTGCCTGGAAGAAAAGCCCAGACCCCCCTGACCACAACCTCCCTTCAGGTGGTCGAAGAGAGTGAGAAGTTCCCCCTCAGGCTCCTCCAGGCCAAACACCCCCAGCTCCCTCAGCCTCTCCCTGTAAGACTTTCCCTCCAGTCCCTTCACCAGCCTCGTTGTCCCCTCTGGACCTGCCCCAGCACCTCAAGGTCCTTCTTGCAGTGAGGGGCCCAGAGCTGGACACAGAGCTCAAGGCTTCACCAGTGCTGAGCACAAGGGGAGAATCACATCCCTGCTCCTGCTGGCCACACCATTCCTGACACGAGCCAAAGCAGAGGGCAGGAGCAGCACAAGGTCCTTAACACTCCCAGGTGCTGCCCACAGGCATCTCCTCTCTCATAGAGATTTGGCTCTGAGAGGAGAGGGATTTCAGCACCCAGCGTGGATGCACTGGCTGCCCTGAGCTGCTGCAGAGTGAAACTTGTTATCTGTACAGCCAAGAGGCTTTATGGCCACTGCTGATCAGAAGGGTTGTGTGATTTGTGCTTCTAGTAGAAACTGGTTGAATAACGTTGGGGCATTTTACTGGTGACAGAAATGCAGGGATGCAACAGGAGAAAGGAGGATGGCTTTTGTTTTTCCTTGTTTATGTCCTTTTCCAAGTGATGCTGTTACTTGTTGTCCTGCTAAAAGTGGGGGTTGGATGGTTTCTGTGGGGTGAGAGAAGTGTGATGTGTGGGGGTGGTTGGTGCAGCCCTTCCCAGCTTCCTCTTCAATGGTGTGAAATTGCATTTTGCAGGTGCCACAGACAAGGGCGGCTCCAGAGACATCCAGGTTGGTTGACCTTCCACGGGGAAAAACCCCACTTTGGCGGGATTTTTGTCACTGTTCCCCTTTAGCTCTGGGGAAAAAAAACAAAACAAACACCCCCTTCCTGCATGTCCTAAATCCTGGCTCAAAGAGGCTCCCCGAGCCCACCCTTGTGTTGCTCAAAAGAAAGCTGTGCTAGTCTGGCTGGGGCTTCTCACCTCTTCTCCAGCACTTGGACACGTTGCAGGCAGCTTCTCTGATATCTTTTTTTTCATTTATGAAGAGCATGAATGATCTCAGGGCACTGTCATCCCTCTGTACTGGTCACCAGGGCAGTGGAGGTGTGGCCAGGGACTGTAAAATGACCCAGTGTTTCCCATTCGTGTCTAATCCCTCCTGTCTCCTCCTTGCAGCCAGCTGTGGTCCACCTTCAAGGCCAGGGCTCTGCAATCCAAGTGAAGAATGGTAAGGATCTCATCCTGCCCCTGGAGCCTCGTAGCTGGGTCTAGGTCCCACCTATAACTTGGGACCCCTGCTGTTGCCCTCCCCTGTGACAGCCTGACCCCCCTGCCCAGCCCCTCAGAGGACTCTTCTGTCTGGTCTCCATCCGTGTTTCTCACCTCTGAGATCACCTGTATCCTGTGCATCCCAGCAATTCTGTCCCACTGCATCTCCCTTCTCCCTGACCTCCAATGCATGATGTGCCCCCTCCAGCCTGCTGTTGTACCATCCCTTCTCCTCAGCCCCTCCATGGCCACCCCTCTGTCCCACCCTGTTCTCTCCAGCCCTTGATGTGTCCGTTTCCTGTCTCAGCCCTGTCAGCCTGAGTTTTTCTCCAGTTCTCCCTGGGATTTCTGGCAGGGGAAGGCACAGCTGTAGTGAGGTCATGGAGGTGCACAGCCTTCAGCTCCTCCTGCCCCACACTGCTGGCCTGCCCACACTCTGCTGCATCTCTACCCCCACCAAGAGCTTTTAAGCTCAAGTCCTGCCCAGCCATTTCACATCCATGGGCAGCTCTTTGCTCTCCTCCTTCCTCCCTGGATCCCTGTCTAATTTCTGCTGGAGTTCCTGTTCTGCTTGCCAACAGCTGGGTCTCATTCATTAGCTGCTGCCTCCCTGCTCACAATGTCTGGCTGTGCTGGAGAGGAGCTGGCTGGCTTGTTCCCTGCCTGAGTCACCACGTGCAGCTCCTCAGGGAGTGTGGCCAGCAACCCTGGTGCACATACCCCTGTCCCAAAGCTGGAGGGCTGTATCTCCTGAGGGTTGGTGGAACTCCTATGGGTTGGTGGAACTGGGTTGGTGGAGCTCCTGTGGATTGGTGGAGCTTCTATGGGTTGGTGGAGCTCCTGAGGGTTGGTGGAGCTCCTGTGGGTTGGTGGAGCTCCTGAGGGTTGGTGGAGCTCCTATGGGTTGGTGGAGCTCCTATGGGTTGGTGGAGCTCCTGTGGGTTGGTGGAGCTCCTGTGGGTTGGTGGAGCTCCTGTGGGTTGGTGGAGCTCCTGTGGGTTGGTGGAGCTCCTGTGGGTTGGTGGAGCTCCTGTGGGTTGGTGGAGCTCCTGTGGGTTGGTGGAGCTCCTGTGGGTTGGTGGAGCTCCTGTGGGTTGGTGGAGCTCCTGTGGGTTGGTGGAGCTCCTGTGGGTTGGTGGAGCTCCTGTGGGTTGGTGGAGCTCCTGTGGGTTGGTGGAGCTCCTGTGGGTTGGTGGAGCTCCTGTGGGTTGGTGGAGCTCCTGTGGGTTGGTGGAGCTCCTGTGGGTTGGTGGAGCTCCTGTGGGTTGGTGGAGCTCCTGAGGGTTGGTGGAGCTCCTGTGGGTTGGTGGAGCTCCTGTGGGTTGGTGGAGCTCCTGTGGGTTGGTGGAGCTCCTGAGGGTTGGTGGAGCTCCTGTGGGTTGGTGGAGCTGGGACAGGAGCCTTGTCCACCCAGTCCTGCCCCGTGCCAGAGCGTGCACACCTCTGGCAGAGTGGGAATTGGACTCTGA